TGGGCGCATGTCGCCAGTATGATGCGTTGCTGTTTACATGCATGAAGAGTGTGTTTGAGAACGAGTCTGATTGCACTCCGCCCTACCTGCTTCTACATCAATGAGCTACTGTTTCCTGTGCAATCTCCCCGGTAGGGGCTCCTACCCTCCTGGGAAGCCTCCCATTCTTCTGCGAAGCCTCCACACACGTGTTTCCCTCCTTTTTCCCGCCGGTTCGACTTCAGAGAAAGATTGTCAGTACTTCCTTGGAGTTCAGGGCCGGCCATGTATTTCCCTCAACCTTATTGCACAGGAATCCGCAGCTATCTGATAAAAACGACAAGATTCTCTCTTTTGTTGTTTATAAAGGGCGACGGCCTTCAAATATTATCATTGAGCTGACCGGCCCCAAGCAATTCATTAGTAGTTGGTTTTACTCACAAGTTCCATCATCTGAATTCGAACACAGGTCTGCATTTCAACAGTTCATGGGTGTACCCACTGAGCTAGGCTCTTGGGTAAAACGACAAGATTCAGACTCGTCTCGAAGCATTGCCATGGCACGTATCGTTACGAAAATCGGAGTAAGCTTGTGGCCTACCGGAGCCCATGAGCTTACAGCAAGATCTCGATATATCTAAAGTCGCGGCAGAAATCAACGCGAATCCTTACAAACGACAAAAACCTACGCAAGCATTGCTTCGAAAAATCCGAGCTCGCTCCAGGCCTGCCGAAAAATACAGCCGAAATCCGCAAAGATTACTGACCCGGGAGACATTTTCCGTCTCTGTTACCTGCGTAGCCCGTCAGTACAGCTTCCACGTTTAGGTTACTTGCTTCCACGCGGCTTTGCGTTCCCTCCTTAGGGCCTCGCCACACCACTCTTGAAACCCGGTTTTCGAGAGTTGGAGCCGTCGCCACACAGCCACTTGAGAGTTGTGGCCCGAAAACTCTTTCGAGAGTTGTCAGACCTTGTTTCGAGAGTCGACTCYCGAAACTCCTAAACGCCCAGCCTGCAACTCGTGCGTTTTCAAGCGTCCTCGGCGGAACCCTTGAGGGACTCTCGATTTTCGAGAGCTGTCTGGCCGTTATCCTGACTCCATTCGGAAAAGACAAAGCTGTACGACTGTCGTTTTTCATCTTTTGTCCAACACCATCGCCCTTTCGAGAGTGCTGTGTGGCGAAGGCGCCTCAACTCTTGAAAACCCGACTCTCGAAAAAGTCTGACAACTCTCGAAAAATTTTCACGTTTCGAGAGTGGTGTGGCGAGGCCCTTAATATCAACAATAGTCACCTCAGATAAATAACTAATAATAATAATATTCACTGCAAAATCATAATAATATTTACTGCAAAATAATGGTACGAATTAAGTGGTGCTACCCTAGTGAAATTAAGGGGCGTAGGGCAGAGTTTCCAATTGGCTGAGTTTTTGGCGGCACTTCAGCATCCCAATCTGCAGCTCAGGGTCAGAGGTCTCACCTGGGTTCTTGGATAGCGCCCAGAAGAGGGGCAAACTCCGATGGGACTGTCCCCGGATGAGTGCTCTTTGCTATAAATGGATAATAGCCAAGAGCATTCATCACGCTTTGATTTTCCATTTCCCCGCTTGCCGCACACGCCGAGCTGAGTGACACGTTCCTGCACGGGTGAGCGACAAGCTGTGAGTACCGGACTTGGAGATTTTTCCCCTGTTTCGCACGGCGAAACGATTTTCTTCAGGCTGAGGTAAGTACCCGAATCAAGGAAACCAAGGGAAGGGGGTGGGAAGGGAACACTGGGTGGAAGGAAAACACGAGAGGTTCGAGGGCGGAAGCTATTTAAGGTAAAAGCCAGAGGAAGAAATCCTCTTTCACGAAGTAATGAGTGCGACAGGCAGCGAAAGCTCTCACTCCGACTCACCGTAGAAGTTGCGCTTGACCCAAAAGCGATGTAGTACAACGGAAGAAAATAGGGACCGACACTGGCAGACCGCGGGGCTACGATGAGGAGTAAATTCATTAGCGAGGCAAGGATCTGGACGCTAAGTTAGGTTGGGTTCGGACAGTTAGGGTTCGGTCCGTCCAGTCCGGTGCTTCGGAGTTCCAGTAGTGGGAACGCTAGAGCTCGGAGAGACGCCAAGGATAAGTAGGCGCGAAGGAATCAGTTAGGTCTTTCGAGCTGATTGCTCGGCGGCGGGCTTCGGCCAGCCGCGAAGGGAACGAAGCATCCGGCGGAGGGTGACGCACGTTGAAGCAGCGCTTGTTGATGAGATTCGAAACAGCTCGCGAGTAGGGCAACGAAGGAGCGCCTCCGAAACATGGAGCGTTGGTTTTGGAATTGAGACATAGCTGTGTTTTGCTTCGCGTTTATGCCTCTTCCCTCTAGCACTCTGGAACTTCATCTTTCTTTGGAAGAGTGTTCGGAATGAGAAGGTCCGGAGAGAGGGAGGGAGCACGAACTCAGGCGCCGACTTAGATTCTGGTAAAAAAAAAAAAAAAGGGAAGGAGGAAGAAGACCGAAGGTAGAAGGATTGGAGCTAGATTAGGTTCGAGGTCAATTCATCTTTTGCGCAAAAGATCTATGAGTCCTATAGAAAATTTCGGTGGGTTCGTCTGGTAGACCACGAAGGAGCGGGGTGAGCTTAGAACTGCGCCAATCGGGAAGCGGTCAGAGGGTGGGCAAGGGAGAATAGTGACGGGTTTTGCGTTTAGGGAGGAACTGAGAGATGGCACTTTCGGACGGATAATCGGAGGGTTTGCGCTGAGATAATTGCGCTTCGATCGACTTTCTCTTCTTACCATTCCTGACTTTCCTCTGCGTTCCGGTCCTCCTTGAGACAGTGAAGTTCGGGAGGGGAAGGGACTGAATTGGGTTGCGGGAAGGAGAAACAGGCGCGACAATTTAGTAAGGATGAGCCATCACTAAGGGGAGGTTAAGTTGTAAGCAACCCTCAGGAGACTATGAGAGCGAGAGTCTGTCTTCCCCGGACTTCCTGATTGGGATCGGGATCTCTGCTAATTTGGATTTTGCGGAAGACTCCTAGACTTACTTCGTTACCTCTTGCCTGCTTCTAACTAGTATCGATAGTATCGATGGCTTGAGGGGAAGCGGGATCTTTCCTGAACCTGGATCCAGATCACATCAGAAATCTCGCAGTGAAGGAATCGAGGGAATGCAAGATAGAAGGATAGCAGTAAGTCGGGAGGAAGGCTCGAAGAAGAGGAAGGCAGCCCGAATACTCTAGATTCAAATAGGGCGATGCGGAGCTGAAGGCGAGGCACGATAAGCCTTTGAATCTAGTCTGACGATGATCAGGAAGGATTAACCGCTGCCTAATTAACTAGTTCTGCGGACTTTGGAAGGTGGAAGATGACTGGTAGGAGAGCACTAATAAAATTTTATCTTTTAACTAAGATACGACTTCTCCATCAATAGTCGAGACTGAGCTTCCCTCTATGATCCGAGAATGAGGACGATCATCAAGAAGGATCGGGTCTGACCTGCTTGTCAAGAGTTATCTCGTGATGTTAAGGAAGCTTTCTCGAGTTGCTGGCTCTGAATTTAATCTCGCCTTCTTGAAATGTTTTTCTCCCTCTCTCTTTTTCGCCGTCTTAAATTCGCCCATCCCTGCAGACATCTCTGAGGAACCACTGATCTACCATTATGAGTTTTTTCCTACGATTTGCTCGAGATATTCAGTTCTGAAAGGTTGGTAGGAAGCGCCTTGATCTCAGTCTCCTGATTCAATCTTGGTAATTAGAAGATCGGCGCAGCTTGGCGGCATCTATCCGAAGAAACAAAGCTGATCATGATGATGAGACTGACATTCGCTGTTGGGGGAAGAGTGGGGGACTGGACTACTGTGGTTCCAAAGACAGTAGTAGACGTTTACGGAGATGAAGCAGGACAAGCTTTGGTGAAAGAATGGGAGGAGATGAGTGTGGTCGAGAATGGAATGGCTTCAAATCTAGCTTTTGGCGGCGGACTTGGGAACTACCGAATTCTTGATCGAGCGAACGGGACGCTGTTACCGATCGAGAGATCCGACATTTTTCGTAACTGGGGTAAGGAGAAACTGAGAGCGAGTTTTGGGAGGGAACATAGACTCCAAGCGGAAGATGGACTGGATGTTCTTTTCGAACTTTTTAACCGCAATGTCTTTTGTGTGGTAGACAAATTGAGTGGAAAAAGGAAGATTTGGGTTATTGAGAAGGGAGTTGTTGAGAAGATGATGGATCATTGGATCCTAGGTGAATTGCTTGCCGGATTCGTGGTGGCAAGAATGTTTGGGAGAACTATCGATGTGCTAAACAAGGACGAACTGAGGATTGTGAAGGAAGCATGCGAGGCAGAAAACAGAGCCTGGAAGGGGAGAGGAAGGTGGGAGTTCGCGGCACTGGGACTAATTATCGCCTTCACTGGAAGTTCTAAAAGGGAATTAGTTACAAACTTATTGAAGGGAATGGGAGCAATTGAATGGGAAGGCTTCGGAATTGCAGAAGTGAAGGCACTCATCGCAAGGACCCTGAAGGAAGCCTCAGAGGAAGACAAGAAGACGCTCCAGATTGAAGAACTTTTCAAATTTGGCGAAGGAGCCTGGATCTCCAGTCTAAGCCACTCAAGACTAGGCTTGGATTTCAGCTCCGATTTCGCAGGAGGAGGAGGGGCAAACCTAAACTTCGCAGTGAATTGGTGCTCAGTCACTGAGTGTCGCGTCCCAAATGCTCGACCTATCTTCATTCCGCTCTCACCTTCAACAGAGCCGGTAGTAACAAACCAAGAACTGGCATCCCACCGAAGAAAGCGGCAAGATGGTACTCCGATCAGTTCAGCTCAGCCAAGGACAAGCCCTCCTAACTCACGGTCGGAGTCAGGACGCTACTTCGACATGTCTTGATCCATCCTCTACCTAAGGATCCACTTTTCAGGCCTTGTTTCTGCTTAAGCATAGAGTCATAATCCTAGACTAAGCCTGCTTATTAGGAGTCCAAACTCTACTATTGTTCCCAGATATGGCTAGGATTATGACCATGACCGACTGCCTATTTGTGTTAGTTGAGGTCTCTGCATTTTAAAGAACTCAGCCCCTTCCAGCTTCTGATTCGGCAGGAACTTTGGCCATTTTTTCTTTTAAATCTGTCTGTTCCTGAACTTCAATTTCTTTAAATCTTATGGCAATATTGGTTCCTGAGGAGGGGATAAAAGAGGGAGTTAAAAAAAAAAAAAAAAAAAAAAAAAAAAAAGGAAAAGAAGGGAGACGTTTTTGTTAGAATGCTCTGCCAAACGTGATTTATTGTTACTAAATGCAAATTCCTCCGCCCCCCCCCGCCCCCCCTTTCCCCCCCATCTTTCTACCTTCTTCATCCTCCCCTCTCTCTTTTCCTCTCTTCCTACTCTCTTCTCCCTCTCGTTTCTCCTTTCTTCACCTCCTCTTCTCCCTCTCTGTCATTCCTCTCTCTCCAAACGCAACTGCATCTGTTTTTTCTTACCTTACGGATTAAAAAAAAAAGAAAAAAAAGAAAGAAGAATCACCTTCAGGTTTCCCCACTCTTTTCCCACTTCACCTACCTCTTCCTCCTCTCTTCTTCCCTTCTTCACTGAGCTCTCTCCTCCTTCCTTCACCTCCTCTTTCCTTCTCTTTCACTCTCTCACTCCCCTCTCTCTCCTTTCCCCTTCGACATTCCTTCCCTTCCTCCTCTTTTCACCACTCTCTCCGCATTATCATCCTAGACTAATCAGAAGGCAAATAGGGAGGAAAGAAATCAGGCAGTAATCAGGCAAACCTGCCTTTCTGTATTCAGAAGCCATCAAAGGGGAAAAGGGGGAGAGAAGAGCAGCTGCTAACTTACCTTAAAACTAACGCCTCTTGCTTCGAAACCGAAGAAACTCGCAGGGAAGGGGGGGGGGCAAGGATCGGCTATCCCTCACCTTCATCAAGGCACACTAACCCTGCCATTTTTTGCACTATTTTATGGCCCCAGAAACTGAAAGTACCAATGCAAGTTGTTACCTTGTCTACCGCAGATGAGTACTGGTCCACTTACGGATTAAAAAAAAAAAAGGGGGGGGGAAGGGGGGGAAAGGAAAAGAGAATTTCAGGGTTCCCCAGTATTATACCATGCATCTCTGAGGAGAAACAGACAAGAGCAGAAAACTGAGGGCCTACTCATGCTAGGGCCTTGGCCAGAGCTAAACTGGACGGTTGAGGCCAGACGCTCAATGAGGCAAAAACAGCAAACTCAGTAGCAGTGGCATGGCCAGCCGCAGAGAAGGAACGGGGGAGTTTCAATTCATAAGAACTACTAAAGCAAAGGAGTAAGACTTGGGCATCGTGAGGCGTGAGGCACCTTCCGGTAAAAAACAAAAAAAAAAAGGGGAACACTGCCGCGTGGCAGCAGAAAGTCAGGCCAGCAGGATCGGCAGATTCTGACGCAATACCACGCCCCTACCTTCACAAAATTTTGCAGACTGGGAACTGTATATTCACAGACGGTAAATTTGGTCCAAATCATTTGCACATGCGCAATGGACAGCACTGAACAATGGACAGTAGTGAACAATGGACAGTAGTGGAGCGAGACCCAAATACTACCGTAAGGACAAATGAGCAGTCACATCCTTCAATCAAAAATTTCATTCGGCCAAAAGAAGCGTCCAGACCAACCAAATAAGGACAAAAGCCGCAACTGACTTAGTTTTAAAAAAAGGCTTATATCGGAAAAGGATACCGAGCACTGATTTTAACAAGCAAAGAATCGGATTGAGCGTAAAAAAAAAAAAAAAAAAGGAAATCCAGGGACGTCGGGGAGGCCCTCACAAGGGAAGAAGTCGTAGAGGCCTTTGAAGAATGTATCTGCCCACTCTGAGGGGTTTTGATTTTACCGCTATCAGCAGCAAAAAAAAAAAAAAAAAAAAACTTTTTTACCCT